GCCAGCATGAAATACGTAGAAATCAGTCTATTAAAATGTGCACCTCATATCTCATTATTTCTTCTCGTGCTTTCTTTGATGCAAAAAGTTCAACAACAGGTTTGTAACTGACTTGTTTCCTGCCAAATGTCTTCGTTCTTGGCTTCAATTTTTTCTGGGATCTTTTCTTAGAGGAAGTGTTTGGTCCAATGTTATAATTCCGGCAGGCACTATTACTTCGGATACGAGATATCATTGAATTTGTTTGAGAAAACACCTGTCCTTTGTCCCCCACACTAAGGTCTGTAGCTTTGTTCCTCTCGGCAGCCACTGGTTTTGCTGACATAGGCGGACTAACTGAGTAATTAGATTGCGTGACAGAAGCAGCCTCAAACTTGACTAGTGATCCACCACCATTTTCCATTAAAGAGGGGTCATTCACCGTTGATTCGTGTTTGACAGTGATCATCGTGAAATCAGGCCTTGGAAAAGGTTCATCCTCAGCAGAATCATAGAGTGGGATATTTTCAACTGTGTATCTGCAATACAAATACCACGTGAAAATGTAATAATCCAGGTCTTGCTGGGAAAAAAAGGTCAAATAGAACTGACACAACCAATAAGTATCCATTTGGTTAGAAAAGTGTATTTAAGCTCTACCTTAAAACTGATTAAGTTCACATTAATGAGTACACGCTTTAAAAATCGAGCACCCCCCACCCCCACCCCAACAAATGAGTATAAACAGAAAGAAAAGAAAGGTCAAACTAAGAAGAAAAAAGAAAATCAAAACAAAGAGTTTGCAACCCCAAACCATCCCATCTTCCTGTTAATTTCTGTTCTTCTCAGACGGCTCCACTTCAAGTAAGTTGAACACAAACTGCTCTAAATAAAAATTGATCCTTACTAAAACAAATGCAGTTTCAGAAAAACCTGAGAAACCATAATTATCATTTCCAAACAGCAAGGCAAGCAAGAAATTTACCTATCATCTCCATCTTCCCAAACATGGTAATATTCCTGCAGAACGTCAAAAGACAACTTAGAGTTATGGTATTTAATAAAATCACATCATAACAGTTTTGAAGCAAAGACAGAATGCCCGAAGTCCAAAATAAAGAGAAGTAGCAGTATAAGCAGAGGCAGTTGAAGCAGCACTGCAACACTACTACTAGCTCTATCTATAAGCAGCTGAAAGAAGAGAGCTAGCAAGATGCACATATGAAAGTTAGGCTGATGCATTCTTATTAAAAGAGGCATGACACTATAATTTTCTTTTTTAAAAAAAAAACATTTAATAATTGAGCTCGTCCTGAAGAAGTTAATTGCAATTTGAGGGTTTCCAAGAGAAAACAATGTTTTTATTTATGCTTTTGATTCCCCATTCAGGGAAAACACATAGTTACTTGAGGGGAACAAGATACTCAATAGTCCAAGGGGAAAAAAAGGATCATCTCTACAAATGGTACACCACACATTTCAGGAACCTTTTCAATAAGTTCATCTTCTTCTTGCTCTCACAACAGAAGCTAAAGCATAGGAGGTTTCTATCTTTAAGAATTGCAACGAAGCAATGTCAGAGAACTCACAAAAATATGTACTATATTTGTTAAGATTCCAGGAAGCGCATTCAATAGAGCAAGCACAAAAAGTTCATTAACAATTGAATATGATAACAAAGTTTTCTATTGCAATACACCCAAAACTTACTTAGAGATCATATCGAGGCCCTCTGATGGTTAACTGTCGTCACTTCAAATCGTATGCAGAAATATGAACATATAGTTCGTTTTATTCAACATGAACATTACTGTTTAACGAAGATTAATACCTGGAAACCATGAGACTTTGCACCAAGAAATAAAGAACAATTAGCTGCCCCACAGAGACACCGGACAGTGACACCTCCGTACCATTCGAAGTTATAGTCATAAGCCAGTTCAGTTCCACAAGCAATATCTTCCTTAGCAAATATTCCAACTCTCGTCTCTCCCAACACTGTCCACTTTCTTGTCTCACAATTTGGTTGACTGCACACAGGTTCAGCAACAAACAAGTGATGCAGCATACTCCACGACTCAAATTTAGCATGTCATCAAGAGCTGCAGCATAACTAAACTTTCTGTATTGTGTTCTGCTTGGCTTACCATGAATGATTTATGAATCTCGCAAGGCTTCCTTTCTTTGTCGCATCAATGAAATGATTTGCATTCAGAGATATAATATATGCATCCGTAAGACCTGCATCACTTAACAGACGGAGGAATGAACACATCCAACCAAGACAAGATGAAATCTTCATTTTTCAAACTATTTTTTTACCTTGAGCTTCATAGGTTTGGGATCTTTGCTTGGCTACTTCCGATGAAATTACTTCTCCACAGTATTCTATAATGAATTGTCCAGCCTGATCACAGATAAATCAAATTCAAAATGTTGCTTTAACAAGATCGTGAAATTAAACAATTTACTACAACTTCATTGAAAATTTATCACTGCAGGCTTGTTCAAAGAGGCTACCTTTATTTTCTGATTAGCTACAAGACCCCAACCACGCCCTTCGGTTTTAAACAACTTAGTCTCTGCATATTCACATTTCTGAAATTTCTGTAAACAAAAAATAAAATAAAAATAATAATAAAAAAAAAAAAGTGGATCAGATCCTTCAGATCTCAACATCGCACATAACAGAAATAATTTATATAGTACAAAGAAACTGCTCAAATAATGCAAGTTACACCAGCAATGCTAATAAGGGCCAAGTTCTAGCCAGTGAGATTGTTTTTTCTATTCTCTTCAAAGACAAAGAAGTTGAAATCAAACTTATCCAAATTTCAGACTATAATATGCAAGCAAGAACAAGAATAAACCAAGCAAGAAACGTAATATTCAAATTTATCAAGGAGAATTATGTCGCTCTTGTAAAATATGGGCTATAGATTAGGGCATATCAGTTAGAGGATTCTCATGCTGCGGTAGATTAGCATTTTGATTTGCTTTTGCATTTAGTTTGCTCCTAGACTTGTGCACATATGATGCACCATTATGGACCAATATATAGAATATTAGTATATAACATGGAATCTTGTGGTTTTTCACTTTCCTTCTTCCAGTTGACCATCTCTGAAGACAGACGCAACATGTTATGGGTGATTTTCCAATCCCACTTCTCATCCAAAGTGACTTGAATTGAAGCCAATCACTATGCAGTGATAAGCGAAAGCATTTCGGTCCACAGCTGAGAATGTTCATATCGATTTACTATGCACTTCTGCATCTAGCAGATAGTCATAATTATATGGGTCAGGTTGATTCTAAAAAAAATATCTTTTTTTTTTTTCTGGGGTAGAAAACTCAATTTAGTATAACAAAAGAAACTCTTTTTATATCCATTCAAAACACTGTTGGTTGAGGGACGAGAAGGCTGCCAAGAAACAAGCTTCTTTGACAACTTTCCTTCCAGTTATATATGCTTCAGAATGACTACTAAGTTCATGAGTTGGTGGATGTTCCTAAGTGATTGATCAAATATTGTTTACCCCGACACTTCCTACCCTTTTCTCTTGCCAAATTTGTCGGACCAGCCCAGGAATAGAGCACTTTTTACTTTTTAGAGTAGGGTATGCCCAATTACTTTAATTGCCCTGACATAGGGATTAATCCTCTACTAGAGTAAAAAATGGAACAGGCTATGCTAATTCATCTCACCTGATTACTGCAGTGCTCACCGCAAGGGCAGTATCCTGGTGTGCACTCTGTATTGGTTAGCACATTCAGACAGCTTTCCCCACATGCACTTTCAGGGCTAAAGGGATCATACTTGCATTCACAAACAACAATATCCTCATCCTTTAACTTCTTGGGTCTGAGAGGATGAAGAGAAAATTGAGAATGCTACTATGACAATGCTATTCAATCAAACATGTAATGAACCAAAGTAAAACAATGTCCGGTAGGAATTAAAATGCCCAACTGAAATTCCACCCACATCATAAAGGAAACAAAATATTGACTATTAGTATATGAAACAGAAGTCGGACAGATATGATACCGACCAGAAACTAGTAATTTTTTTTTTTAATTCAACGATTTATAATTTATAGTCGGAAAATGACAAAAAAAAAAAAACATTTGTCATAGAATCCGAAGCTCCAATTCATCCCAAACATTATGCCATATGAAGCCTATGCTACAGGACAAAACATTGTACCGATATATTACCGACCAACTGTTCAGCATCAAACGCCATCGAACTGTCAATGTATATTGATCCCAGAAGACTGTAAACAACAGGAAATGTAAAGAAAGAGAACTCACTTCATTCCCCAAAACTCATTTTGTCTGATATGCACAAATGGTGGAACTCCCTCTGCCAATTCAACCTTCAAAACACAACAGCTCACTTAGTTAAATGGCAATAGGAACAACAGAAGATGAATGGAATTATGGGCAACCAGCACAAGTATAGTCATATGATACAAGGGCGTGCAGAAAGTGATCTTTTACAAACTCAAAATTCAACCCTAAATCATTAGGCATTATAGCTAAAAATCGAATCGAATTTATGTAACACCCCAAGTATGCCTGCCAGGCTCCACCTGATATGAAGTTTGGTCGGGATTAGCTTGTTGCCAAGGCATCTCATGGGCGGAGCTGCCGCTCACAGGCGGCAAACAAACGACGGCTTTACTGCGGCCTAAGCCTTCGCCGGTAAGTGGAAAAATTAGAATTAAAATGAAAGAAGAAGCGAAAGAGGAGGAAAGCGAGGGAGATAACGCATAGAGATGGTGTCGATGGCTGAGCCGACCGGCAGTGAAGCACTGTGGCTGCGGCACGACGAAACCGATGAGAATATAAAGATTTGAAAGAAAAAATTATATCACTAAATAGTTTTGAATATTGATAATTATTTTTTATTTTATTTTATTTTATGATATATAATAATTTAACTTAATATATAATTTATATGTTTATTTGATTCGTTATAAAATAGTTGTCACTTCATATTCTGTTTATGATTAAGAATAATAAAATTTAACATATTTAAATTTATCAATAAATAATAGTCAAATAATATTTCTCTCCCTCAGTTACAATATAAAACTATTCGACCGTTTAATACTTTTCTTTTTCATTAGTTTTCTTGTTAGTTGGTCATGCATGTAATGCATGTGATCATGCAGCTTCCTTTATACCTTTTTCTTAGGTTTTTTACTATTAGTTCTTTGTCTTCTTTTTAGCCAGCTCATGTAGGCTGTGAGCCACTCGTTTACTTTATACATACTCTAGATTTCGGCATCTCTTGGCCATATATATTGGCATTATTGTAACCAGCAGATCTCAGTTCTTACGTATGAATTAAACAGTTGTTCAACATGGATCTTGATGTTCTTGATTTTATCTCATGCTTGTTTGCTTTTGATCCTAAATCTATCATGGTATCATAGTGGGCTTAGCTCACTCTGTATTATCTTGATCTTTCTTTCTTTTTCTTTCCTTCCATCAACATGGCAGAGGCTGCAAATCGAAATCCACCAATACAACTTCAGAATCAACTCATATCCTTCAAGCTATATGATGATAACTACCTGATCTGGAAATAACATGCATTTACTACAACAAGAGGCTTTGTCTTGGAGGGTTTCCTCGATGGCACCACTCCGCCTCCCACCAGATTCATTCCAGCACAAGAAGAAGGGCTTCTGCAAACAAATCCAGACTTATCTCTTTGCAAAGGCAGGATCAACTCTTGCATCTTGGTTGTTGTCCTCACTATCAGAGTCTATTCTCATCTCAGTGGTTAGTCTAAACACCTCGAGTCAGATCTGCCTTTGTCTTGAATCGACCTTCTGCACAAGATCTAAGGCCAGAACCATGCAATATAGAATTCAGCTACAAAACCTTAAGAAGGGCAACATGAATATCAGAGAATATGTTAACAAGGTAAAGGGATGTTGTAATACCTTGGCAGTAGGAGGTCACTTGATATCTGAAGAGGACCAAGTAATGCATGTCTTGAGTGGTCTAGGACTAGAATATGACGTTGTTGTGGTGAGCATAAATGCAGGACCAGATCTTTTCACTTTGATGGATGTAACCTCACTCCTTAAGACACATGAGAGCAGACTTGAGGTTTTTTTCAACCTCTAATGACATGAACCTCCCCTCAGCTTACCTTACAACCCAGTCGCGGCCTACCAGAGGTTTTCAAAATTCCTTCTCAGCAAGGGTAAGAGGTCAAAACACCAACTACAGAGGTAGGGGAGGGAGAAGTAATATGGGCGGAGGTAGGTCTAACTCTAATCGAGTTCAATGCCAGATATGTGGTTACACCAATCACACAGCAGACAGGTGTTACAATAGATTCAATCCTGATTTTGTTGCCAACACATACACAAGGACAAAGGATTCTCAGAAAACAAAAACAACCATTCATCAGCTCTTATTGCAAGCAAAGAACCTATCAGAGAGAATGAGTGGTTTCTTGATTCAGGAGCTTCTCATCATGTCACTAATTCAAACTTGAGCCTAGCCTCATAATACAATGGCAACAAAAAACTTCATGTAGGAAATGGTTCAAGTCTTGATATCTCACATGTTGGTAAGAGTTTTGTCTCTCCTTCACACTACGCGCACAGAAAACACACATTCAAACTCAACAACCTACTACATGTTCCTAAAATAGCCAAAAACCTTATAAGTGTTGTTCAATTTGCTAAGGATAATGGAATTTATTTTGATTTTTATCCTACATTTTGTGTTGTTAAAGATCGAGCTGCAGGTCAGGCTCTTCTCACAGGGAAACTTAAAGAGGGGCTATACACTTTCAACCTTGATATTGCTGACCACAAGAAGTCCATGTCACAAAACAAATCCCATACAAGCCTAAACTCTAAATCACCTTTAGTTTATGTGCTAGTACTGCTAAGCCTTTGTTACTTTGGCATAGAAGGTTAGGTCACCCTTCGTTAGATATAACCAAGAAGGCTCTTGAAGCTTGTCCCTTTTTATTCAGAACAATTATTTGTCCTTTTGTAATGACTAATGACTGTGTTAAGGCAAAATCTCACATATTGCCATTTTCTGATTCATCATGTACATCTCAGCATCCCCTTGAACTCATTCACATAGACCTTTGGGGGGCAGCACCATTGAAATCTACTTCAGGCTCTTTATATTATATGGCTTTTGTGGATGATTTTCCCAATATTCTTGGATCTATTTTCTTAAGCAAACGTTAGATACTTCAAAAGCCTTTAACCACTTCAGAAATCTAACTGAAAGACAATATAATAACAAGATCAAGATGGTACAGAGTAATGGTGGAACTGAATTCAAACCCCTCACCACTCAGTTTTCATTCCTTGGCATTAACCATAGAATATCTTGTCCCTATACACCACAACAAAATGGCCTTGTAGAAAGAAAACATAGGCAAATTGTTGAAGTTGCCTTAAGCCTATTGTCTCAATCTTCTATTAAGAAGTATTGGGAAGAAGCCTTCTCTACTGCCATCTACCTTATTAACAGAATTCTCCACAAGACCATTAATCACTTCACACCTTTTCAAAAACACACAGGCATGTCACCTTCATATTCTCACTTCAGATCCTTTGGGTGTCAATGTTTCCCTCATATGAGACCATACAACAAAGATAAATTAGATTTAAGATCTCAGTCTACTGTTTTTCTAGGCTATGGCCCTCATTATAAAGGTTACAAAATCCTTCTCAAATGGGAAAAATTTTTTGTTTCTAGAAATGTCATATTCAGTGAAAATATTTTTCATTTTTCTATGAACTCCTTATCTTTAGAAAATGAGCAACTTATACCTAACAATCAAACCTTTCACACACAATCACCCACCACTACCCCTGACATTCATTTTTCCTCACCACATCATCACACACCCTCTCTCAATTCAGAAACACATTCATCACAATCTCAGAATAATCATCCTCATACACCTTCTCATTCCCAATCACCTCACCCTCATTCACCTCACTCACATCATACACAACTACTATTACTTACTAAGGAAAATTCTAATACAACTAGTGAGATTCATACACCTAATCCTTCTCCCCCACACAGTCTTACCCCTCCATAGGCTCCACCACTCAATCAACATCAAATGGTGACCAGGTCCAAGATGGCATTTTTAAACCAAAAATTTACACCTTTATTGCTTCTATTGAACCCCCTACTATCACATAAGCTTTAGCTTCACCTTAATGGAAGGCTGTCATGCAAACTGAGTACAATGCTCTTTTCTTTTAAAAAATAACACTTGGTCAGTTGCTCCTATTCCTCAATGGAAAATTCCAGTTGGTTGCAGGTGGATTTTCAAGAATAAGTACCATGCCAATGGCAATATTTCTCGGTACAAGGCAAGGCTTATAGCCAAAGGCTACACACAAACTGCAGGTCAAGATTACCATAAAGTCTTCAGTTCTGTTATAAAACCTGCCACTATCAAACTGTTGCTCACAATTACTCTTGCTAAGGGTTGGTACATAAAGCAACTTGATTTTGATAATGCCTTCCTAAATGGAAAATTGGACCCTCACATTACTATGTTTATTCAGCAGCCACACCTCTCACCCCAGGTTATGGTTTGAAGCTCAACAAAGCCATTTATGGCCTTAAGCAAGCTTCTAAGGCTTGGTTTGATACTTTAAAATATGTACTGCTCCCTATTGGCTTCAAAGGCTCTCTTGCAGATTCTTCACTCTTTGTATTATCCACACCTCAATTCATTGTTTACATTGTAGTGTATGTGGATGATATAATAATCACAGGTAAATCACTGCCTTATATTGATGATGTCATCCTCAAACTATCATCCTATTTTTCACTAAAGGATTTGGGTCCTCTTCATCGCTTCCTTGACATTGAATTTCATCACACTACAGATGGCCTAGTACTCACTCAAAGCAACTACATCAAACAGTTCTTGCATCAAACCGGCATGGATCAAGCCAAGGCCTTGTGCAGCCTAATTCTCTCTTCACTAACATTGTCCAAACACAATGGTGCTCCATTTCCCAATGGTCTTCTTTACAGACAAATTATTGGAAACCTTCAATATCTCTTATTTACCAGACCAGACATCACATTCAGTCAATAAAGTAAGTTAGTTCGTGCAATACCCCTTTGATTCTCACTGGAAAGTTGTCAAACGTTTGCTAAGATATTTGGTTGGCAGTATTGACTTTGGCTTAAGGTTCTATAGGTCCACACATCTCAACATTCAAGCCTTTTTTGATTCAGATTGGGCCTCTGGCCCAGATGATAGAAAATCCACCTTTGGACATTGTGTTTATGTTGGCAACATCCTGATTTCTTGGAGTTCCAAGAAGCACAATACGGTTTCAAAGAGCAGCATTGAGGCTGAGTACAAGAGCCTTGGTCGTGCCATGACCGAGGTTTTATGGCTATCAACTATCCTTAAAGAACTTCATATCCCTCAACCTATAATCTCTTACATTTGGGTTGACAACCTTAGTACAGTGTTCATGTCTGTCAACTCGGTAATTCAAGGAAGAACCAAGCATATTGAGGTCGATCGTCATTTCATATGAGAGAAGGTTCAATCGAAACAAATCTAAGTCTTGCATGTCCCTGCTCATGATCAAGCTGCCGATTTTCACTAAACCTCTCACAGGCCAATTTTTCGTTCGATGCGCAACAAACTTCATTGGCTCCTTTATCCTCACTCGAATTGCGGGGGATGTTAGAATATAAAACCATTCAACTTTTTAATACCTTTTTTTTCATAGTTTTCTCATTAGTTGGTCATGCATGTATGCATGTGATCATGCAGCTTCCTTTATAACTTTTTCTTAGGTTTTTCACTATTAGTTCTTTGTCTTCTTTCTAGCCAGCTCATGTAGGCTGTGAGCCACTCGTTTTACCTTATCCATACTCTAGATTTCTAGGGCATCTCTAGGCCATACATATTGGTATTATTGTAACAAGCAGATCTCAGTTTTTGCGTATGAATGAAATAGTTGTTCAACATGGATCTTGATTTTATCTCATGCTTGTTTGCATTCGATCCTATATCCATAACCCTCTATCTTCCCTTACTCTATCTTGTTGCAATATATTATTTCGATTTTTAAATAAGTGAAGCTAAAGTAAAAAATTTGTGGTAAATATTATAACCAACACTTCATCGAGAAATATCGTATTATATATTATTTTGAAGTTAGAAAAAAATATATTAATTTTTAAAAACATCAATATTATTTTAATTTTTCTTATAATTTATTATAATATTATAAATATTTAAATTTCTATTTCTAATCTATTGATTATATGAGATTTGTTATGATATTGGGAATTGAGATATGAATTTTAAAAAACTAGTTTGGTTCAGTTATTATAAAACCAAATGATGTTTATGAACTCCTTGAATGGATAATTCTTGGTATATGACTCGTTACAAAATGAATAAAAAATCGCAGGGATTTGTTTTTAATGTTGAGCTATGAATTCTACAATAGTATTGTGATAGTTATATCAATAAGATTTTTGCAACTGAGTTCTAATTATTTTGTACTTATATTTTGCAATGTTCTCACGCATATTTCGGTTTACATATAACTGGATAACCAACAAAACAAGAGAACGTATGATTTGTTGTTAAGAATGAAGATTGGTTTGTGATTAAAGATAAATAGTTTAATTTCTTTAGATATTTTGAAAAATTAGGTTTGTAATTTTTCAAAAAACTGAAAAGATTGAATTATTGATAAATCAAAGTTTTCCGAACTAATCATCTCGATCAAATAATTTTTTTAAGATACGATAAAAAAAATTATGGTATATCGTTAGCCACCAAATGAATAGAAATTGTCGTGATTTGTTTTAATGTCAATAAGTAAGATTCAATTGTACCATTGTGATAAATATCATAACAAAATTTCCTTAATTGATTTTAAATTTTATTTAGTAATTATATATGCAATCTTACCGTGCATATTTAAATAATATTTTGTAAAAATAAAATATATTTAATAGACATTTTTTGAAGACATGCTTGCAAAAGAATGATAAATTGAAGTGATTTCATAATTAACATGAAGAATCGTGCGGTAATTATCACAAAATAATTTTCAGAAATGATACCATTTTATTAATTTAAAAAGTCGTGCTATTAATCTGATTGCACGATTTACTACAAGTAGGTATAATTTAAATTTTATTTTTTATAAATATTAATGTAATTTTTACATATTTTCTTTAATAATAAGTCAACCTATATAAATTTAGTTTAATATATGAAAGTAACAGACGCATTTTCGAAGCATTCACCTAGACCAGTCCTGGCTCCGGGTCGATCCTCCGGGCCGGTCTGGGTTGAAATACTGTGCTAGAAAGTGTTTCTTTTGGTCATTCATACAATAAGATATACTTGTGTATGATTATATATGAATATTCTTATATATAAAATGAATTATCCACATTCAATACTATAAACTAATTCCCTTACTAAGCCATTGCAAAATGCCTAGGATGTCTGTAACACTTTCACTGAAGAGATAAACTGCTCTCCCTGGTTTCTCTCTAATGTTTAATCAGTTGGTTGAAGAAAGAAAAGGACAAGGGGCAAAGGGATAATCAGCAAACATCATATTTCATCTGGAAGCTATACTTGAAGCCAGCAGAAGCTGAAAAAAAATATTATAATTCCTCACTAAGCAGAAAATTTAGGTTAGCAAATATCAGTCTTGTGTCTTTCCCTACGAGTAATTGACCTGCCCATGCGGAGCCTTCTTGTAGTTAGAGCTTGTAATAACACCTCCAGTGCATGCTCGACAGAATTAGCTGACACCTCCAAGCCAAAGTTACTCAGCTCTCGGATTAGCTGGAGCTCATAAAGGAGACCTGCAGCTGCAGCTGCTGTACACGTTCTATCCCATGAAGGTTGGGGCCTGACCGCAAATTCCAAAATCACATGTAGATAGAATTTGTCAACTCTTAAATACGGTTATTTTATTTATTTATTTATTTATTTTTTTTTTTTT